TAGAGGTAGGAATCATAATGATGAGAAGAAGTTCATCTCTTTTTTTCTCTGTCTTGGTCATGTTCTTTCTAACATATGAAAAATTAGTAAGCATCCCCCCAGTAGATACATACTCATAAAATATTAGTTACACCAATGTCAATGCATTATAAAAATACATTAAAACATAAAGGATGAGCTTTTTTAAAAACAGAAGCTCTGTTACGTTCTTCCTGAGCCCCAAGGGATCATGCAACTTCTTCTTTGAGGAATCACTTCACTCCTTTTTGGAGATCACTCTTGTAATTCTTTAGGCCTGTCTCAAGTCCCTCTTCTTGCTTGTTTGATTTCACTATTTTAACTGTACAACTGGATTGTAAACAACTTGAGATTAGAGACCAGATGGAGTCTTATCTTTGTATCCTGCAACAATGCCTAGCACAATTTCAAGTTCATCATCATTATTCAGTATATACTTGTTGGTTAATTTCTTGGAATCATCTCAGAGCATTATTTCACTAATTATTACTAAAAAGGAAAAAAAATCCTCAGTTTTATTTTAGTAATTCTGGGTATTATTCCTCAAGCTATTTATCTTCTAGGATTAAAGACAAGTGAGCCTATCTGTACTTAGAGTTTTGTGGAAATAGATGTATTATATCTGATGAAGTGGTTTAATTGGACATAATGAGAATGGTGCAGTGTGAGAACTGAACCTGAATCAGCACCCGCATCTGTTTTCGTTCCTTGAGATTTCTGTTAACTGGTTCTTGATCAAATGACGGAGTGCCAAAGCATAGTGTTTTCTTTTTTTATTTTTATTTTTATTTACTTTATCGAGTTCATTTATGCTGACATTATTGATGCTCCCACCATTCCCAGGGTAGTATAAAGTACTACTTTGTATTTTATATTTTGCAGTCTCTGTTCTGTTCCTCCAAACCACCACTATGTTCTTGGATTCTAAAAAGCCTTCCAAATTTCCGAAATTAATTGTTCACAGTTATGCTTAACAATTCTTCATAGTGATTGGTTCCATGAATCTCAAAGACCTAATATCATCACCTTGTTCTTATGGCATTTCTACTTTTTCATCTTTTCTTTCTCGGTAGAGAAACTAAATCTAGGCAAAGGCTGAGCATACTGGCTCATGCCTATAGTCCCAGCACTGGGAGGCTGAGGCAGGAGGATCACTTGAGCCCAGAAGTTTGAGATCAGCTTAGGCAGCACAGGGAGATTTGGTCTGTACAATAAAATTCTAAAAACTTTGCCAGGCTTCATGGCACATGTCTTTAGTCTCAGCTACTGGGAAAGCTAAAGCAGGAGGATGACTTAAGTCCAAGAGGTGGAGACTGCATTGAGCCGTGACGGTGCCACTGCCCTTAAGCCTGGCAACAGAGCAAGACCCCATCTCCAAATTAAATGAATGACTGCAGAAATAAGATCCATTTATAGTCATCTGCAATCAAGAATCGAGATAGCAAAAGAGATGAAAAACAAGCCCTGGTCCCAGATTTGCACTTTGTGGGGTTTTTTGTTTTGTTTTGTTTGTTTTTGAAACAGAGTTTTCCTCTTGTTGCCCAGGCTGGAGTTTAATGGCATAATCTCAGCTCACCGCAACCTCTGCCTCCTGGGTTCAAGCAGTTATCCTGCCTCAGCCTCCAGAGTAGCTGGGATTACAGGCATGCACCATCATACCCTGCTAATTTTTGGTATTTTTAGTAGAGATGAGATTTCTCCATGTTAGTCAGGCTAGTCTCAAACTCCTGACCTCAGGTGATCCGCCCACCTTGGCCTCCCAAAGTGCTGGGATTACAGGTGTGAGCCACCATGCCCGGCCCAGATTTGTGCTTTGTATCTCCATGGATTATGTCATTTCTTCATGAAAGGTGCAGTAGTGCTGTTTGCTTTCCAATGTAATTGACTAATTTCAGATCATAGCTGTTACAGATTCTGATTTAAAGGCTTTGAGATTTTTAATTTATTTGATAGATATATCAGTCATTTTTTCTTCATAACAGACACCCTAAAAATGTCATGGGCTTAAAATGACTTGGGGCTTGTTTTTCTTGCCCATGGGTTGTTTGAGATGGCTTTGCTTCAGACTGCAGGTTAAGGGTTAAGTTCAGGACTGCTTCGCATGCCTCTCATTTTTATACCTCCGTGGTCTCATGGGGAATGTCAAGGGTACAGGCCAAACCACCCAGGCGCATTTAAAAGCCTCTGCTCATATTGTGTCTCCTAAAACTCCATTGGCCCAAGCATGTCAGTGGCCTGTATTACATTATGTTACATTAACAGTATTAGCAAGCACACAGTACTGCACCTCTTAGAAAGGAATGACATAATCCATGGAAACTCAATTAACTGCAAATGTGGACTCCAGTGCTTGTTTTTCATCTCTTTTGCCATCTTGATTTGCTCAAGGTCAGCAGAGCTGGGTGTATACTCAGTTTATAGCAGGAGGCAGTACGGACTTAAAAGACAGAGGATCTGGATGTGAAATCCTATGCAAGTGAAAAATTGAGATAAATAATTCAATCTCCCGCTATAGGGAAGCAAGCCATTAAAACAGCAATTTGCTAATATAGTGCTGTGGACTGTAAATGTGACAATACTTTTCTTTTTATGGGGAGCTTACATCTTATTTGACTACATTATTTTGGAAGTTCTCCAATGCTCTGAATTTCTTTTAAGAATGCCCCTTTAATCGAAAATTGTTGTTTAGTAGAATAAGTGTAAGTAGAGAAGATTGTGATATTAATTGCCTTCCATGCCTTGTTTGAGAAAGAACTGGAATTGCTAATTGATTGGGAAAACTTAAAGGATAGATTTTAAAAGGATAGCGTAGAAAACTGCCTAAGTCTTGTAAATAAACTATTAAGAGATATAAGTTAAACTTCAAATTAAGGTGGGGGGAACAGAGTTAAGCTAGGTTAACTAAGTGTGGAAGCTGATTTCTGAGACTCAGGCACCTCAGAAAGGCATTAAAGTATCTCCTCTTAGACAAGTAGGGAGACAGTTCAGAAGTACTATGTTATATAATGTAATCTTATGATTACCTAGCAACCTAATTGAAGTCAATCTTAATATATGTTGTAAGTATAAATATGAGTTTGTATGTTGTTAATGCCTACTATATTCTGCAGTGGAATTAATAGTTCCGTAGGGAAAACCTTTTTCTTTTTGAAGTAATGCTGGGTGTGTCTACTTGAATTGTTCTATTTTCTTTATTGCCTTACCTTTATCCTTGAATAGAAAACATCTTTTTATCTTTAAAATAGCATGTTTTACTACCCAAATTGATAATATTTGGGTTATTATAGGCACACAGAATTCACTTCATTTAGACAGATTAGAATACTATGGGAACTCAAAGGAAGTGGTACTTTTTTTTTTTTTTTTTTCTTTTTTGAGGTGGAGTCTCACCTCACTCTGTTGCCCAGGCTGAAGTGCAGTGATGCAATCTCAGATCACTGTAACCTCTGCTTCCTGGGTTCAAGCAATTCTCCCGCTTCAGCCTCATGAGTAGGTGGGACTTCAGGTGCATGCCACCATGCCCGGCTGAATTTTTGGTTGTTTTTTTTGTTTGTTTTTTTTTTTGAGACGGAGTTTCACTCATGTTACCCAGGCTGGAGTGCAATGGCTCGATCTCGGCTCACCACAACCTCCGCTTCCTGGGTTCAGGCAATTCTCCTGCCTCAGCCTCCTGAGTAGCTGGGATTACAGGCACGCGCCACCATGCCCAGCTAATTTTTTGTGTTTTTAGTAGAGACTGGGTTTCACCATGTTGACCAGGACGGTCTCGATCTCTTGACCTCGTGATCCACCCGCCTCGGCCTCCCAAAGTGCTGAGATTACAGGCTTGAGCCACCGCGCCCGGCCTATGATTTTTGTATTTTTACTAGAGACGGGGATTCACCATGTTGGCCAGGTTAGTCTTGAACTCCTGACCTCAAGTAATCTACCCGCCTCAGCCTCCCAAAGTGCTGGGATTACAGGCATGAGCCACTGCATCAAAGAAATGGTGCTTTATTACAGTGTGCTTTATTGCAGTTGTGTCTCCTTTGAAGGCACAAAAACAAGGAAACTAAAGGAGATATGTATTGCAAAGCTATGTAATATTATGTAAAACCTAGTCCACTCTTTTTTCTTTCATGGAATTCAAAGTTCATTTTATCCCTGGTATGTGTATCTGGCTTTACAAAACAAATGTATCCATAGGAACGTGTTTCTAAATGTTTTTTAAAACTTTTTGTTTTTAATTACAGAATCACAGGAAGTTTCAAAAACAGTACCTAGAGGTCTTATGTACCTATTATGTAGCTTCCCCAATGGTGACATTAGGCCAATTTAAAAATCATTGATAGGGGCTGGGCACAGTAATTCACGCCTGTAATCCCAGCTGTTTGGGAAGCTGAGGTGGGTAGATCACTTGAGCCCAGAGTTTGATACCAGCTTGGGCAACATGGTGAAACTCCATCTCTATAAATAATGCCAAAAAAATTAGCTGGGTGTGGTGGCATTGTGCCTATAGCCCCAGCTACTTGGGAGGCTGAGGCCAGAGGATCACCTGAGCCTCAGAGGTTGAGGCTGCAGTGAGCGATGATCGCACCACTGCATGGCAGCATGGGTGACAGAATGAGACCCTGTCCTGACCCCCCCCAAAAAAAATTGAGGGACCATCTGTGCATCTTTAATAAACCTGAATTTAAAGTATCTTGTAGGGATCCTTATGTCATTGTTGCTTTATTTATTGCTTTAGCACATTCTGCTCCATTCTCCCCATCTTCACATTGCACCATTGATTGGGAAGGGATTAAGTCTCATGTACTTTTCTGGTACATTTTTCCCCAACAGCCTGAAAGATATGCAGGCTCCATTTTACTGCTTACGTTGAAGAAACATTTGGTTGAATATTCATATTTCTTGTTTTGAGTTTATTTTGGTGGTGTTTGAAAACTTGAAAGGTTCTATATATTTTTTTTTTTAACATCATCTCTCTCTTTTTTTTTTTCTAGCCTGAAAATGAAATTTCTTCAGACTGCAATCATGTAAGTATGGATTTTCTGTGATGCACCATATGTGCTTTATAGACAGATTTCGGGCTGCTCTTCCTCTTGTTCTGGGAAGTGCTATGTTTTCTTACAGTCTCTTAATCTTAAAAGGACAACAAACTTTAAGGACCTTGGTAAAGTCAACAAATAATCCTTCATTGTAGAAACCTGCAGTTTCTCCCAAATAATATTTATGTACTTAAATTTTTCTTCAATTACAGCTACCGTGTGAAAATAATTGTCTGCTTATCAAGTCTACAACTTTAGAATTTCCTATTTTAAAGCTCTCTCATTTAGTTATCACACAGTCATCTTCTATTTGCCAGACACTCTGGTAGCACATTAAAAGGAGACTGATGTGAAATCAAGTCTGTGCAAAAAGTGTTGAGTCCTTTGGTAGAAGTTTATACAGAAGACATTGGAGACACAAAAATGAATTTTGTCCAGGTGAGTTGATATCAGGAAAGGCTTAATAATGGACATGAGGCCAGGCATGGTGGCTCACACCTGTAATCCCTGCTCTTTGGGAGGCTGACGCAGGTGGATCACTTGACACCAGGAGTTTGAGAACAGCCCAGCCAACATGACGAAACCACGTCTCCACTAAAAAATAAAAATTAGCTGGGCGTGGTGGTGCATGCCTGTAATCCCAGCTACTCCCGAGGCTGAGGCAGGAGAATTGTTTGAAGCCAGGAGGCAGAGGTTTCAGTGAGCCAAGATGGTGCCACTGCACTGCAGCCTGGACAACAGAGCGAGACTCTGCCATTCATTAATTCATTCATAAATAAATGAGATAACACTTGATCTGGGTCTTAGAAGAGGCATACATATGTATTGTGTGTGGCCAAAGTCACTCTATCACATTATAGAAGGTAGAATGGACTGGAGGCTGTATAAGCAGAGACAGATTGGCTGTTTAGATTACTACTTATTCCTTTTTTTTTTTTTTTGGGACGGATTTTGACTCTTGTTGCCCAGGCTGGAATGCAGTGGTGCAATCTCAGCTTACCATAACCTCTGTCTCCTGGGCTCAAGCTATTCTCCTGCTTAAGCCTCTCAAGTAGCTGGGATCATAGGCATGCGCTGCCTTTAATCTCAGCTACTCGGGAGGCTGAGGTAGGAGAATCGCTTGAACCCAGGAGGCAGAGTTTGCAGTGAGCCAACATCACACCACTCACTCTAGCTTGAGCAACAAGAGTGAAACTCTGTCTCAAAAAAATGTATTCTCCCTCATAATCAAAAAAAAAAATTCAGCAAAAAGTGAGTATACTGTTGTCATCCATTTGATTAGCAAATATCAAAGATTTGAAAAATGATGCACACCTGTAGTCCCAACCATAATTCCAACTGACCCTTGAGCCTGGAGTTCAAGGCAGCAGAGACCTATGACTACAATACTGCACTGTAGCCTGGGTAACAAAGTGAGACCCCCATCTCTTACCAAGAAAAAAAAAAGGATAAATACACAGTATTGATAAGGATGTGTGTATTTAAGCATTCTCTAACCTGTAGATCAACAAACCACAACACATGGGCCAAATCCAGTCTACTCTTCGTTTTCATACATAAAGTTTTATTGAAACAGCCACACCATTTATTCATGTATTGCCAGTGGCTGCTTTTCACACTAGGATGGCAAAGTTGAGTAATTGCAACAGAGACTATAGGTCCCTCTATACTTTCTGGCCCTCTGCAGAAGTTGTTTGCTGAACCCTGTTCAAGCCTATGAATGGGAATATAAACAAGCTATAAAACAGCCTAAAATGCATATGTTTTGACCCAGCATTTCTGCTTCAATGAATTTATGGATAGTTATGCTTAAAAGAATGGACAAGGATGTGTCTGTAAAAGGATATTAGTTGTGGCATTATTTATAAAGCGAAAGATGAGAGGAAAACCTCAAAAATCCATCAATAGACTGAATCGGACAGAAGAGAAACCCAGAAAAAAGTTGATTTGTGCTTTAGAACTCTCAAAGAGCCAGCCAGGCATGGTGGCCCACGCCTGTAATCCCAGCACTTGGGTGGCTAAGGTAGGCGGATCACTTGAGGTCGGGAGTTCAAGACCAGCCTGGCCAACATGATGAAACCCCTCTCTACTAAAAATACAAAAATTAGCCAGGAGTGGTGGAGCACCCCAGTAATCCCAGCTACTCAGGAGGCCGAAACAGGAGAATTGCTTGGACTGGGGAGGTAGAAGTTGCAGTGAGCTGAGATCATGCCACTGCACTGCAGCCTAGGCAACAGAGTAAAACTCCATCTCAAAAAAAAAAAAACTCTCAAAAACTCTCAAAGAGCCAAGGAATAGGAAGGATATAATCCTGCTGAAAATGGGGGACAAATAGTATCCATAAAACAGGAGACTTGGATATGTAAGAAGCAATCAGGACTCTTGAGAGAACAATTATATAACCCAGTAATTCTTGTTTTTTTTTTTTTTTTTTGAGACGGTCTCTCTCTGTCCCTCAGGCTGGAGTACAGTGGTATGATCTCAGCTCACTGCAACCTCTATCTCCTGGGTTCAAGCAATCCTCCTGCCTCAGCCTCCTGAGTAGCTGAAATTACAGGCACGCGCCACCACACCTGGCTAAGTTTTGTATATTTAGTAGAGACGGAGTTTCTCCACGTTGGTCAGGCTAGTCTTGAACTCCTGACCTCATGATCAGCCTGCCTCAGCCTCCCACAGTGCTGGGATTAAAAGCATGAGCCACCGCTCCTGGCCCAGAAATTCTATACTATAGCATTCATAATGTCCAGCATGCTATCATAAATGGCTGGATATGAGATGAAGCAGGAAGATATAAATGATAATCAAGAGATAAAGTAGCCAATAGAGATTCAGAGAAGAGATAGTTCATATATTGGAATTAATAACAACAGACAAGGACTGCAAATAGCTAATAAAACAGAGGAAAATAAAATACTTTTCTATAAATAAAATGGAGGAAAATTCTAGAGGGAAGACAGAATGGGATAGAAGCAATCTTTGAAGAAATGATGCCCAAGATATTTTCCCAAATCGAATGAGAGGCATTAACCCACAAATTCAGCAAGCTTAGTGAACCTCAAGAGAGATCCATCCACGCTTAGACAATTTTTTTTTTTTTTTTTTGAGATGGAGTCTTACTCTGTCGCTCAGGCTGGAGTGCAATGGCGCGATCTCGGCTCACTGCAACCTCCACCTTCGCCTCCACCTCCCAGGTTCAAGCAATTATCCTGCCTCAGCCTCCTGAGTAGCTGCGATTACAGGCACCCACTACCATACCCAGCCAGTTTTTGTCTTTTTGGTAGGGACAGGATTACACCATGTTGGTCAGGCTGGTCTTGAACTACTGACTTCAGTTGATCCACCCCCCTCAGCTTCCCAAAGTGCTGAGATTATAAGCGTGAGTCACCGTACCCAGCCTAGACACATTATTAACAATCTGCCAAAATGGAAAGATAAAAGGAAAATTCAACAAGCAGGCAGAGAAAAAGAGACATTCTCTTGAGGGAAGAAAAATGACAGCTGACTTCTCAACAAAGCAAGCAGCAGAAACTAGAGGACAATTGAAACAACAAATGTAAAAGGTTGAGAGAAAATGCCAACGTAGAATTCTATACCCAGCAAAAAATATACCTTTAAAAAATGAAAATAGGCCAGGCACTGTGGCTCACGCCTGTAATCCCAGCAATTTGGGAGGCTTGAGGTGGGCAGATCACGAGGTCAGGAGTTTGAGACCAGCCTGGCCAATATAATGAAACCCCGTCTCTACTAAAAATACAAAAATTAGCTGGGCATGGTGGCACACACCTGTAGTCCCAGTTACTTGGGAGACTGAGACAGGAGAATCGCTTGAACCCAGGAGCAGAGGTTGCAATGAACTGAGATCATACCACTGAACTCCAGCCTGGGTGACAGAGCGAAACTCCATCTCAAAATAACTACATCCATAAATACCCTGGTTCAAGTTATTCTCGTGCCTCAGCCTCCCAAATAGTGGGATTTCAGACACATACCACTACACCTGGTTAACTTTTTGTATTTTTAGTAGAGAGAGGTTTCACCATGTTGGCCAGGCTGGTATTCAACTAGGTATCTATTTACTTACGTATTTTGCCAGACAACCAAAAAGCTGAGAATATTTATTTCCCACATTCCCACGCTATGAGAAATCCTAAATTCTTGAAGCTGAAAGGATTACAAATTCAAACAGAAATAGCAGCACTAGAAGAGAGAAATAATTGATAAATATGACTATTATTGTTTCATTCTTTAAGAGAACTGACTTGGCTGTGCATGGTGGCTGATGCCTGTAATCCCAGCACTTTGGGAGGCCAAGGTAGGCGGATCACCTGAGGTCAGGAGTTCAAGACCAGCCTGGCCAACATGGTGAAACCGCATCTCTACTAAAAATACAAAAAATATCCAGGCATGGTGGTGCACACCTGTAATCCCAGCTACTCGAAGGCTGAGGCAGGCGAATCACTTGAACCCGGGAAGCAGAGGTTGCAGTGAACCTGGACAAAAAGAGTGAAACTCTGTCTCAAAAAAAAAAAAAAAAAAAAAAGAAAAGGAATAAGAATAGAATTTTACTTTGGGATAGTCTTATATTGTGTATTAGGTAACATAATATCAATTCAGTTTGGACAAGTTAAGAATGCATAATCACGATACAGATTTGTTTCACATGATGACTGTTCAGTTAATGATACTTAGCCATTGTGACTTAAAAGTTTATAGAACTTTATCCAAAACACAAAATATTTCCTGTGACATTATTGTTTTAGGCAAATTTGCATGGAGTGACTTACTCAGCACTAGTCGGACTATCACTTGGAACAAATGTGAATTCTGCCTCATAGTTACGAGTGATAAAAAGGAGTGATAGCAGGGAATGATAAAGAAGCATGTTTTGCTCTTCTCCAGTGTCTTGCACATACAATATTTCTCCATGTCAAAAAGCGGTTTTTGGTGTTGGTTTTGTCTTGCTTTTTGAGACAGGGTTTTGGTCTGTC